ATCTTAATTGTCTTTTCAGCAGCTGTCACATCTCCTGGAGCTGAGAGTGCCAAAAAAAAAAAAGCTGTAGCAGTCTCTAGGAATGATAATAAACTAATCAGGGACATTTGCGTAGGAACATGGACATTGTTCAGATTATAAAACAGTGACAAACTGAACAAATGGTGTAACGCGTTAAGTTTGAGTAGTAGCTTGTATCGTCCTTTCACACCAGTATGATATTTTTGTTAAAAGAGTTATTTTATAAAATTAAAAATGGCCCAAAAATAGGACTCTCATTTTCATTACACCTTTTCTTAAGACTGATGTTGCAGCTAATAATGTACTAACCTGATCCCTTTAAACTGGTGAAAAATCCACTCAGACATCAGCTTCTCAATCTCTCCAACCTGAGGTCATTTACAGACACATCTGCCACAGGTAAGATATTAATTATTCACAGTCTTTGTTTGAAAACCACAAGAAGACAAGCACAACAACCCTCTTTAATCCTCCTGCTACCCTTGGATCAAGGCCCCGGTTTTAAAACTGTGAGGCCTCATGGGTTGTTTTTAGCAGCAGGAGGATTAGTTCAGACTTTTAGCTTCCTGAGATGAGATGTATGCTGTTAGTAAACCCCTTCAACAGGCCAAGATGAGTGTTAAGTGAACACATGAATACATTGGTTGGATTATGCAAAAGCGTAAAAGACAATGAGACATGATAGTGATCTTATAAACTGTGCACCATCACAACACAGAACAGATAATTGTATTAGAGACTGTAATCTCTGCCCACGCCTCATATTTTATTACTTCAGCGTAATCATCACTGGCTGTGTGTGTGTGTGTTTTTCTCTCCATGTTGTCGGGGCAGTTTATGAATTAACCACCAGGGGGAGAACAAATGCTGCAAAAACCTGTCGCAAAACATTCATTTCTTCCACTGATGATCAGCTCTGACAGGGGAGTGGAAAACATTCCATTGTTTCTCCTTGTTTCACTCAGTTTGTAATAAAAAAAAAAAACATAAAAACTTGTTTTTGTTTTTAATTCAGTAAAAAAAAAAAAAACTAAATGGAGGACAAAACAGCAACACAATTGTCATCCTCAAGAGTTCCTGTTTGTGTGCGAGCAGGTTTCCGCTTGGACTTCCTCCAGCAATCAGTAAATTCTRWRTKKGTGTGTGTGTGTGTGTGTGTGTGTGTGTGTGTGTGTGTGTGTTTTCAGAACCATKAGTGAATACCTCATCAGTCTTCAACAGCCTGTGACTCTGAACAGAAATAAGAAACAAGTGATTATAGAAGAATGATGGATCCATAGACCATCTCTGCTTTTAGCTTCTGATGCTCATCAATTCATCTCACTTCAATAAAAATAATAWTAAAAAACTCCTCAACATGCTCCTTTTCATCTTCATTTTCAAGAGTTGAAGGGGAGTGAATATAAGCCTTTTGCTTCAGACTTCAGTCGACCTGCATGAATAGCACATTAGCCATATGCAATTTATTCAGCTCTCAAAGGCTCCATATTCTATATAGTCTGCAAAAAAATCATTTTCACTCAATTTTCTGCAAATGATTAAAGGGATTCAGAGAGAGTAAAATACCCTTTTTAAAAACTCTGATTCTTGCAAAATACAAAACACAACACCGCTTTATTTGGTCAAGATGAAACTTTGAACATGTATATTTCTTTGGTTAAAAAAAACAACAAACAAACTGCATGAAAATGTTTTTGTGGCTTCTCCCCTCACGTTTCATCACATGCAACATAAGGCGACAGATAAATATTCCGGCTGCAGCCATCCCTGAGAAGAATGAGATGATAAAACCTCATGCATCGTGCTGTTGTGCTCCCCTCGCCGTGCCTCATCGAGCTCGACGCTCGTGCGTCTGCGAATTCAAAGCGACAAGGTGCAAAAGAAAACCGAGGCGAGCAGATTCACGGTGAACTCTCTGCAACCTGCCAGCTTGTTGCCAGTTTGTTGTGAGCAGCAGCTCCCACCCATTGATATCAGCACWTCGGGGCCTAAATAATTCAGCAGGAAATAAAGGTGCTACCTGTTTCTGTGCAGATGTTTTACTCCTGGCATTTGATCATGATGAGGAACAGCAGGTTTGAAGAAGAAGAAAAAAAAGGAAAATAGTTGGAGAACAGAAATATACTGTTTCTTTTGGGTTATCTTTGTACAACCATGTGAAAATGTCATAATGTTTCTGATTTGTTGTAATAATAAGATCAGATTATGGCACTGTTGTACTGTGGGAACATACWGGAATAGACATCAGTATGAAATGAAGCACCAGCTTCACTTAAATTAATCCCCATGATTCATTTCTGCTGCAGTTTTTAAGTTAATGATGTGTTTTTAATGTAACACACGTTGGAACGAGCTCACAGGCATCTGAGGCACAGCTGAAAACTGTTTACGAGCAGCTTTTGGGTATTATATTAGCAACAAAATGTTTTTTTAAGAAGCTGCACCAAAATGAGAACGTGTCCAATCTGTCTGTTCGCTGAGGGACGTCAGGGATAAAACAGATTTCTGCCATGAAAAAAACAATTTGCAAGGAAATATTAAAGAGAATGTTTGAATCTGAAAGCAAAGAAAATGAGAAAAGAGTAGATTTATTGGCTTTACGAGCCAAGTGAACACAAGTGAACAGAACAGAGTTCTGAATGAAGCAATTAAAACAAACCAGCTGTGGACTTTCTTCACTCTTGTTCAGATGTTTTTCTGGGGGGGATTATAAAAGGCCTCATTTTGTGCTTTTTGAGACAAGGTGCTAAAAAGGAGCTCAGTTTTTTTTTAATTTTGGTGAGATGAGAAAAAGAAAAACACAAAGTTTTATCATCCTAAAAACACGATTGAAACCAGAGGTGTAAAGTGACAAAGTACTTTGTTACTTTACTTAAGTAGAAATTTTGGTTTTATTTATTCCATTAGCTGACTTGTTACTTCTACTCCTTGTTTTCACAYAATTATCCATAATTTCTACTCTATAAAAAGCTAAGCAGAAGAAACTCTACTCCTATTCATTTTCCCAAAGGTTTCAGCAACATTTTAATATAACATTAGTCATTATGGCCGTTATAAAATTTTTTTTTTTTTTTTTTTGGGGGGGACACCTCCCAGTCATTGTCATTTTGAAAATTATTACAGCTCATTTTTACTTTCCTTTTCCTTTTAATACTTAAGTATATTTTATGTCTGAAATTTTCTTTTGATACTTAAGGACAGTAAATATCAGAAACTTTTACTCAAGTAATATTCTTAGTGTAAACTTTATCTTTTACCAAAGTAATTTATGGTAAGTTTCTTGCTTTCACTCAAGTATCACTTAGAACAGCATTTCCCAAAGTTGGGGTCGGGACCCACAGTGGGGTCCCCAAACATCAAGGTAGGGTCCTGAAAAGATTTTCTGAATTAATTACGTTTTTGYCTTAGTTGTTACAAAKGAGTGAGGTTAGTATATTTAAAATGGATAAATGTAATATAAAAAATAATGTTACTATGCCCATGTTTTGTTGACCTGATRCAAATGTTTATCATCCAAAAATATCTGGAGGCACAGGTCTCTGTTACTGTTATTTTGTGGGTCAAAAGCTGAAAAGTTTGGGAACCACTGCGCTTTGGTTCCCAAAGTTGGGCTTGGGACCCAATTATGGGTCATGAAGCACCTTGGRTAATCTCCAGAAATCAATTTTAAAGGTAATAAAATAATTGCTGATGTAATATTTTCCCTAAAACTACTACAAAACACAAAATTAGTGTAAATAAATATTCATATTTGTGTACAAGCTGTTTAGATTGTCAAAMAGCCTGTGTTTTTAGGGTTATTAACGAGGTTCATGTACTCAGACCAGTAATATTTGGAGTCAAGTTTTTGCCATGGATATTTTGTGGGTCAGAAGATAAAAAGTTTGGGAACCACTGACTTAGAAGTATTTATACAACACTGATTGAAACTGTGTCAGAACATCCTAAATTTATGATTTAAACAGCATCATTTGCTTCAAACCTGCTTTAATTTGACACATTGGAGGAAAAAAAAATCTTTGAATGTTGTTTTTCAGAAAATACATTTTTGACCTAAGCAGGTCAGACAGGAGCAGATTTTTTTCGTGGTTTTTAGGAGTTAATCCAGCTTTTAATGAACTTTCAACACTCCCAACCTTCAACAAGTTAAAGTGGAATATCTGTTACCCATTTAGGAAATATCTCACCAAACCATTGCAATGTACTTTTATGAACATTCTGAATTTAAATCCAAGATTTTAAGTTTTTTTTGTGTGTGTCTTTTTTATCTGTGACTTTATAAAGAATGGTACCTTTTCATATTTTGATCAAAAGTAAAAGGATTTTTTTATGTCGATGAAAAATTTAGATAAAACTGGGATGTGAATATTTTTTTAACATAGCATTTGTGACCCCTGCTACCACCTAAGTTAATCACACACACACACATCCTTGTACTTGCATCAAACTGAGGACTTGTTGGTTAAAAACCTAACATGGTTCTCACTTTGTAGCAGAAACAAGTACACACACAAGTTGTTTTTTATGTACTCGTGGGGACCGTGGACTGGAATAACTTCCATTCATTTTTTTGGTAAATTTATAGCACCCACCACCCACACACACAGAAGATTTTGTTGTCCTGTTTTTGTTTCTTAAGCGTCAAAGTAAAAATGTTAGCTGTTTAGAAATAATAATGGAGTGAATCCACCTCTCTGGTACATTGTTCTCTATTGCTTTTAGCATAATTTCAAACCATTAAACTACAAGTAAATTCTTTGTTTGATTTGCATGTTTTTATGACCTAATTCGATTTGACTTTATGCAATACAAATTGTAGTAGCTGTTTTTCTGTAAAGTTTTACTTAAAGAAAATAAAAAAGAACTAAAGAAAAAACTTTAGTATTACAAACCCCAAAGATCCAAATGTAAATCAGTGTACACATTACTGAAGGAACATGCTTCTTTGATTCTCAAAATAACTACTTTCTGACAAATTCTGGAAATCAAACCACTTTAACTTTTATTCAATCAATGTAAGGACATTAAAGATGCTTTTCAAAATAAACAGAACTTGGTTTAGGTCCAGTGCAGTTAGTATAGTTCTTGTTTTTTAACTGTCAGCTGGTTCAGAAATCTTTGTGACATAAGGCCTCAACTGACTCCTCAGACTGTTGTGACTCTCATGACCAGCTCTCTTGTGCTATTGCTGGGTTGGCTGCGGATCTCCGGCTGCCTCAGGTGGCTGAGCAGGTGGAGGATGTTGTAGGGACAGTGTTGGTCTGGCACCACCGTGCCGCTGTCGGGATCCAAGTGCGGTCCGAATCCCCCCGCGGCCGTCACCACGGTCGTAGACGTGGAGCCGGCGGCTGTGGAGGCCACGACCATCAGCGAGGAGGTGGAGGTGGACACTCCGATACCAGTCTGGTAGCCCTGACTGGGCTGAGACAGAGTCCTGTCCGCAGCGGCCTCCTTCAGGTCGTCGCTGTCCATGGATTTATCGTAGTTCAGAACCTTCCACTGTTGGTTCACGGCCTGCCAGCGGTGGAAGATACGAAACACGGACGGTCCCTCGTGGACAATTAACGCTGTGGAGATCAGAGTGTCAGAAAGACAAAAGTCACCGTCTGGCTGCAGGCTTAATGACACCACAGAGTGATACCTCTGCAGCTCACGACGTTAAAGCCAGCACAAAGTATTAGCTGACACAGAACAGAACAAAACAACTCATTTTTCATGTACTTCCCTGTAACGCGGTGATAAAATCTTCATTTAAGAGATAAAGTGAAGTTGTGGAACAATCCATGAGACAACAACAAACACCATTTCTGGATTTCGGTCGGCAGAAACGATGCATCTGTTTTTTGCAGCTGCTCGATAACATCTTATCTCGGTCCAAAATTGCTTATTGATTCATGTTTACTGAACTCAGCATCTGGAAAATTGAAGTCAATCTGCACCAACAGTTTCCTGTGTGGACCAAGAGGGTTTATAGCATGATTTTCATAGTCAGGTTGGGTGAAGATAGAATGCATAATTTGATTCTGGTAATTGGAAATCCTTTAATTTACCCCACACCAAGGTACTTACAGATATAAATGATATATTCCAACAGACTGAGGATGCATATTGTGAATTAAAGGCCTTGCATTCTATGAAGGGATGCTTTTTGTCCACCACTTTTTATGCTAGTGTTAAATTAAATTCACTTTGCAATACAAGGAGGCTATTTTGGTCAAACTTCAGCTCAATATCTGTAAATCTAACAGAGTTGGAGTCATGTTTGTGTTTTATAAGGTTAGTCTGCTGTGCATCTTGACCTTTTGCACATTTCAGTCATAATGCATGTGCACACAGGGTTTTCGAGCAGTCACCTGAAGTAAGGGGGATTATTTGCCGTACGAGTCAAGTGTTTACATTCCTTCCAATGACAGCAATGAGGAAAAGTACTACTGTAATGTGTATAATTGTTTGAGGCAACGTGACTGAAAAGATAAAGGAGAAGCTTGCTCCTTTTAACAAATTCCTCTAGGAAAGTCGAGCAAAGCTGCTACAAGAAGAAAGCAGTGGCACAACAGGCTTCGCAGTCATGACTTCACCCTGACGAAAAACAGTAAAGTATGTAATCAGTATTTTGTTCCTGGCATGGAAAATATTGATCCGAACACTATGGATTAAGTTCCTAAGTTACATCTTGGATATATGGAAGGATTACGKTCCTATGTTTCATCTCAGATATGTAAGGATTACGTTCCTGTGCTACATCTTGGATATGTAAGGATTAAGTTCATATGTTTCATCTCAGATATGTAAGGATTACGTTCCTACACTACATCTTGGATATGTAAGGATTACGTTCCTACACTACATCTTGGATATGTAAGGATTACGTTCCTACACTACATCATGGATATGTAAGGATTACGTTCCTACGCTACATCTTGGATATGTACGGATTACGTTCCTACGTTTCATCTTGGAAATGTAAGATTACGTTCCTATGCTACATCTTGGATATGTAAGGATTACGTTCCTATGCTACATCTTGGATATGTAAGGATTACGTTCCTATGCTA